CCTCAACAACACATGAAGAAAAAAAGCAGAAATTATTTTGATCAAATTAGCGTGCAATAAGTCAAAAATATATTTTGGTGTAGTCTTCTACTGGCTGTTATCAGGTATATCTGAATGTGTACAACAGGGGTTTGAGCAAAGCTTTTACCACTGAATGATGCAAAAAGTCTCAGATCCAAAAGACTTCAGAAACCGTATCAGATATAACACATTTGGCATTATAGGGTTAAGGGCTTTATACCCTTTTTACTAGATTAGCAGATCAATTCATTTTGGTGCAGAAACTGTATTAGTGGGTATCGGGAGTTTTTTTCTTACCTTTAAAGAATGCAAAACCAGGTAAGACAGATTTTTTTTTATTTCATTTGTTTTTGTTCTCTCCATCCAGGCCACTCGTCTAATTTCGTGGTGACGGTGCTGCTTCCCTCTAAGCGACCCAGCAGTTATTGGATATCAAAAGCCTCTGCACTCCTGTGCCAGCTGGATGATTAGGTTTATTTTTTATTCAAGGACAAAGCAGAAATGTAAACACAACTTTGTCGTAATGAATCACGGCTCAGCCTGGAATGAACTTTTGTGGAATAATCGCAGAGATTTTTACAGACAGAAATTATGCTGAATGTGCACTTTTTAATCATGTAATAAATCCTTCAGCTTCTTTCCCATCTTCATGTGTATTTGAGCGCATTAACACGGTCTCTGCTCCTGAGCAATGAAGCATTTTGTCAAAAAACTTCGAGCTTGGAGTAAACACAGCACACATTCCAGTAATAGCTCTGCCATCCATACCGTGCAGCTAGTCACTGAATATGTTTACTGATTTTAACAGGACGCGCGTGGCCTCGGGGAAAGAAAATGTGAGGATGGATGGCTTAAGATATCCACTAGACTAGATGAATGAACATCGATGGGCAGAGGGGCACAGACAGTAAAAAGTTAAGGATAAGCCAATGAAAAGAAAGCATTAGATGGCTACAGGGCATTTGTTTGAACAGGAGAAAAAGTGATGATCATTAAATTAAATGATGAAATGTTTCTGTCACAGCCCCCTCTCACTTCCGCAGCCTATTTGTGTCACTTAGGTCAGGAAGTTTGAAGACGTAAAATATGGCTCCCAAAACACATTAAGTGCCCCCACTGCAGTTCTGAGAGCAGAGAGCAGCCACATTCAATCACCGAGTCTGACTCCTCACACCTTACTGCTCCGCTAACAACAAGCAGGAGGTATTTAAACATCCGCCCGAGGAGGAGCAGTCAAACAACTGTGGAGGAAGAGTGAGTTTAACCCTTTAAAGCCCGATCCAAGAAAAATAGGAAGAATATTGGATTTGTTTAGTCTGAAGTCTTTCTTTGGCCCCTCAGCAACATATGAAGAAAAAAAACAGAAATTATTTTGATCAAATTAGCGTGCAATAAGTCAAAAATATATGTTGGTGTAGTGTTCTACTGGCTGTTATCAGGTATATCTGAATGTGTACAACAAGGGTTTGAGCAAAGCTTTTACCACTGAAAGATGCAGAAAGTCTCAGATCCAAAAGACTTCAGAAACCCAATGAATCAAATTTGATAGATTTGGCAATATAGGGTTAAGGTAGATACATGTAATGTGTTCATAGATAAAGTTGTGTATGTGCTTCTTAAACTAACCCAACATATTGTAAAATGGTTACAAATCAGATTCAGAAATACTGTAATAATCCCAGAGGGAAATTAAAAAGAAATCAATTAAGAAATTGTTATTAAGAATAATAATTCCAATTAAACTGACATAAATTAAGTTACCATAGAAAGGAGTTATATATCTCATCTCATTGGGAATAAGAAAGGCTAGTGCAGTATTGTGTAGATAATTTACATGATGCTTGTTTTGACTTTATGTCTGTAGTTTATCTCAGTTGTTAGTTTTTTGTCTTTTTTTTATCAAGAAGAAAGGTCTAGATGTACAGATGTATCCCTCCCTAAGTACCACCTTCAATCCACTGCATGTTTTTCCAACTATGAACCATCTGTTTCTTCTCAGGTTTGGCAACTTCCCTAAAGTTGATGATGATGATGATGATGATGATTAGTTGTCTGTCCTTATGGAGGCTTTTAACTCACTCCATTAGGACTAATTTTAGGACTGATTACGACTAATTTGATTAAAGGTAAGACTTTTCAGTTTCTTTATGTCATCTTTATAGATTACATTAGGGATAATGACAGCTTGAATGTTAAAAATCCCCTTTATGTAATGTCTGTTTTAGTTGTAGTTAATTCCTTATTACTAGTGCATGTAGGGTGTCTTTAAAAACCCTTCACACATGGATAATTTCTTTTTTATGTTGGAATGATGAATGGCAACATCCACTGACTCCCCAACCTCCAATTTGGCCTCCTTTTTTCCTAATCAATCCTCTTTTTGAGCCAGGATTATACCCTGTGAGTAACTGTGAGTGTACTGTACGGAGCTGTTTTATAGCAGAGAAGTTGTAATGAAGAGGGCAGAAATGGATTGAAGGAGCAAATGAGATTACATGCCCCAGTCACTCTGAAACCTGATTAACAGTGTTTTATCACGCCCCCCCCCC